GTGTCCCACCCCCTGCTGGTCCCATGCTCCCTGAGGGGCTTCCACTTTTGAATTGTAAAAAGAGCCCAACAGTTCAAAAGTAGAGATGCCCTTATAGACTAATCAAATAGTCGATAGAAATCCCAAACTATTCAATTAGTTAAACTAAGTTTAACATCCCTAGTGTGTAAACATAACCTATGTATGAAAGTATGTACAAGTATATTAACATAATGTATTTTTCCTTCGGTCTTCAAACACACACACACAGACACACACACACACACACACACAGACACACACACACAGACACACACAGACACAAAATTGGATTCCCAGTATGCCCTCCCAATGTGTCTCCTCTGTTGGCAGTTTGTACTCCACGACCATTAAATCTTCTATGCTTTTTTAAAAATATCCCCCAAAATAACTCTCTCAGTGCCTCATAATGCAGTACTAAGAAATGGAACTGTTCAAAAAGAACAGACTGGTGCCTCAACACCAGTGTCTCACCTCTGCTCAGAGAAGCAGAAGACTCTTCTCTCTTCAGTCAGAAGCTTTTACCATTTTTCCTCCATCTTTGATGAGGATTCCTCCCCCTCACCCACCAAGTAGGTAGATTTTGAGAACAGAAGCTCACAGGAAATTAGTATTTGAAAAGGAAAAACCTCAACATTGTAGCAAGTCCAGCTAAAATAAAAGGGGCTCCTTTCTGTTCAGCTGTGCAATATTGTAGCGTCTTCCCTCATTCAATAGCAAGGTAGTAGCCATGCCTTTAGCTACTTAGCACAGAAATTCAGCAGCAGAAAATGATTTCCCATAATCTCCAAGCTATATATGCCTACTGGTGCTTCAGGCCAGAATGCAATACTGCAGCAATGACTGACTCCAATAGCAACAACATAGCAGGAAACCCATTAAATGTCTAACACAGTAATTCAGCAGACTCCAGATATTTTGAATCAACAGGACAGAGATCGTTGGCTGTTTTTCTTTGTTTTTAAGCTAGTAGAGAAGCCAGAAGGGCAAGAAAAATCGATAGGGCAAGATACACCCTTTATCCCAACCCTTTCAGGCCACGTATATGTAACAGCCATGGCATCCAACATACTAACCACTAGCCACATGTGGCTATTTGGCCGATTGAGTGTGGCTAGTTCACTGTAGCAGTAGCCACTAAAGTGACTACTGGTTCAGAACTGCTTGGACACTGCGGTGTTATAGGGACTATAGTGATAGCACTGTTGCTGTGATATTATACTGGAATAACCCTGTTATGTAGATACAGCCTACAGCGACACGTGATTTCCTGTCACTGGAGGAACATCACTTCATCCAGTGATTTTTTTCCATCATCCTACCTGCATCTCTGCTGGTGGTGAAGTCAACATAACTATAACGTTCAAGTATGGAACCATAAACAGTCCCTGAACAATGAAGCTGTGTCAACCTAAATTTAAACTGTAAACCAGGCCTCCAATGGCCACAACAACCAGGTTTTTGTTTGATTTTTTTTGTCCTAGGTGTTCAAGGATGGGCCTTAGCCAGTCCTTGTTGTAGCTGATGTCTTGCATTTCTGCCCTCCTGCTGTCTCTGTTAGGGGAGCCTGGAGCCCTGCCTTGACAATAAATGCTGATGTCTGCCTTGACCACTATACGGATCTCTAAAAAGCAAAACCCAGGCCTGTCTCAAATCTGGTGCATGTAGCATGCAGGCACGGTCAAGGGGGAAGCTGAGAGAGGCAGGAATGTTTTGCATATCAATGCAGATTAAGTGTGGCACAGCAAGACCATGTCAATGACATGACAAGCAACCTCATACTGGTACTTCTGTTTCTGATAAGCAAAAGTTACAGATGCAGCCATAAAACTTCCAACTACACACGTAGTTTTTGCAACATCCTAAGTAGCAGGATGTACTCCAAATAGGTATTCTACACAATATGTAATCAATTGGTAAATATTATTAGAACAACCAAGTCTCGCTTTGCTATAAAATGGGTTTAGTAAGAAGAATTGATGCGAGGGAATGAACAGGATTGACCCACAGGTCCTGCTCAATGCAACTAGAAGTGAATAGGCCCTTCCTGGCAGCTACATCAGTACATGGCATTCTGACAGATGGGAATCAAAGAAACCATTACCTCCTGTCTGGTACTGTCAGTAGCATACGGGTAAAGTGTAAGTGAACTAAGCTTTATTATTGTATTATAATAGATCTTTTATTAATTGCTTTTGCATTATACAATTGCTTTAGAATGTATAGTATTTAAGGTTTAAATTGCATAAATATTGTTTTTAAGGCTTGTAAAATTTAAATAACTATATCAACTGATTAAAACTTGCAATAAATAAGCAAGTCTCTCTGGAGTGTCCTGGCTTCCCTTGAATCTTCCTTCCCCCTTGCCACTGCATCTCTGACTCTCACAACCTCTTAAACCAAAATAACTATTTAGAATAAAACACAAATAAAAACACTCAAATTCCCCATATTTGAGACCGCTGCCATCAAATCAAGGCAATTTGATTCTCTTCTCTCAGCTCCATCAGGTGCAGGTTTGTGCGGAATGACTATGCCTGACATTTTCCTCACTTATTCAATGGTCACACTCTCTGCTCCCCCCATAGTAACTCAGCAGCACAGTCTCATCCATGTTACAGCCTGCTGCTGCACACCATTTTGTTGGGAACCACTTCAGCAAGGCTTTAGGACTCCATAAAACTTCACAGTATGAACCAAGAACTTCAAGAGGGATATGGGCTTATTTAGTCTGCAGAAGAGAAGGGGGGTGGGGGGATCTGATAGCAGCTTTCAACTCCCTGAAGGGAGGTTCTAAAGAGGATGGAGAGAGGCTGTTCTCAGTGGTGACGGATGGCAGAACAAGGAACAATGGTCTCAAGTTACAGTGGCGGAGGAGGGGAGGGGCGTACAGGTTGGATATTAGGAAAAACTATTTCACTGGGAGGGTGGTGAAGCACTGGAATGGGTTACCTAGGGAGGTGGTGGAATCTCCATCCCTAGAGGTTTTTAAGTCTCAGCTTGACAAAGCTCTGGCTGGGTTGATTTAGTTGGGATTGGTCCTGCTTTGGGCAAGGGGCTGGACTTCATAACCTCCTGAGGTCTCTTCCAGCCCTATGATGCTACGTGTTCAGTCAAGACCAACCTCCGTAGGAAGGAAAACATAAGTTTCATCCGATACAGGCTCTTTGTACACTGACAATATGGTCTCAGTTCTGCATGCAGTCCAGGCCTCTCATAGGACAATGAAAATAGTAAAGAAATTTCTACCAAGAAATCTGTGCCCATGGGCAAATCTGCCTGCATACATAGTCCTATCTATAAAATTATGTAGCATTGAATAACTGACATTATCAGGAATTTAGTGGCCAAGAACTCAGTCTTTTGGATGCATACACATGCCTGGTCAGCATCCTTGAATCTACTGGACAGAAGAAAACTTCTCTATTGCAGATACTTTCAAACTCCCAGGTCTAACTCAAGAAGCTATTTGCCTGGCATCTCAGTGGTATTGACTTCTAGAACATGAATATTCAGGATGGTTCATGAAATTCCCATTCAAATCTAGAAACTACCCAAGAGTGTCAACACTTCAAGAGATTCTGAGAACTTGATCTTTAAGTTGCTTCTAAAGAAAAGAATCTCTTTTCTCCTTTAAACGCATTCCTTTGAAGAGACTGAAAACATCTTAAAATCTCATTGGAATCTTGCTTTGTTGTAAGTCTTTATTATCCATTTATTATACAAAAAAATGGAAAGATACAAATCTGTTTGGAAATGTTCATCTTCCATAAAGGCTTATTAATCAGAATTAATATTTGTTTTCTGAGCTTGACCATATGGCTGGAGAGTGAGAGAAGTAACCGGTTCTCTGAACAGCACTACTTGCTACCTCTACATTGGCCAACTAGAATGGTGAGTTTTGTTTTGGTTTAATGAATGGATAGCATCTGTGTTTGGAAGATGAAAGGAATATAACACTAGTAATTGATCAGAGAGTACCAGGTGCCCACTTCAAAGAACAGGTTACAGATAGTTTACAGTAGGGAGCGAGATAGTGAGGGATAAGTAAAGTTTACTATTATGGTACCATATCTATTACTAGAAATATTTTGAAAATAGCTCTTCCCCATTCTCACTAAAACCCATGTCAAAACTGCAAAGATTAGCATTATGGATGGAGCATAAAAATACTAGCCCACTCACATAGGCATCAGAAAGAGAAACAGTTCATTCTTCAATTTGGCTCTTCCAAATGAAACATAAGACAATGCCATTATGTCAGCCCACCTACTCCACTATCAAACATCTTTCTACTTCCACTTTAATTAGTGTGAACTAAGCTAAACATGCTCCAACACCACAAGATTTTTCACTAATGTACATCACAGAAAGATTTTTTTCTTAAGTCAACTTTGCAAATGGTTAGCAAAAACAAACCAA